ACCTGTCAGTTAATTCAAGTTATCACTTCTCCCCAGGAAGAGCTATTATTAAAAACAACTTACAAGGGTTAAAGAAGGGATGTGTTAGTCTCTTTACTTGCTCATTTGGAAATAGCATAGAGATAGCTCTATTAACCACCTCAGTTGTATGTCTGGTCTCAGTGCAGACACACAGACAAAACTGAAAGTTATAAATGACCAAAACATAAACCTTAGCTGCTTTGAGTTAAAAATCAATTTTCTTAATAAGTTAAGTTGTAATATTATATATTGGTACGCAATATCAAGAATGATGTGTTAATCTTTGCCATGTTGGCAGTGTGCAGAGTGTGAGATAGGGGGACATAAAAATTTAGCAATTAAAAAAAGATTATAAAAAAGATAAAATGGAAATAAAGCTTAGTAAATAGGGAGGGGAAGAGGGGTTGAAGGAGGAGAGGGAATTGGGAAAAAAAGAGGAATTAGAATACATCATGTACAGGTACAAATTCCCTATGATGAATATGATCGTTATGTACATCTAAAATGTACCAACAAACTTGTTAAAAAATTAGTAATTTAGAGAACCTGGTACCAAAAATATTTTTCAGTAGTGAAAGGTTCAGGGTTTAGTTCTATCATTGAGCTATGATAGTATTCTCTGAATAGCAAAGGTTGAATATTAGGTTATTATTCACTGATTTGAGTGAAAGACGGCACAACTGGAGAAACTGCCATGGGTTAAGTAGTTGGTGTATTCCTGAACACAGATGTCAGTTTTTCCCATTGTGTACTTGCAGAAAAGTTACATGTTTCCATTACTAAACAAGCAATTTCTTTTGGAATAATTCCTTTAGATCTATTCATTTATCTCATCTAAGAATTTTGGGAATTAACTCATCTAAGCTTTTGCTGATATGAAGCATGAGGTCATTCATATTGCTCATATCAAGTTTAAGCTTTATCATTTGTTCTACCCAGAAAGAAATCTGATGATCTGCTATGTTTTACTGTGGTTTGCTATATAATATTCTATTGTATTCACACTGTATAATTGTGTGTGAATCAACCACAGCCTTTTTTTTTCTCCATTCAACGTTGGCTATTCAGAGAATACTATTATTGCTCATTTCAATTCCTGTTGATGAGCATTTGAGCAGTGTGATAAATATATGAAAAAATATTATAAAGGTATTCATATATACAAAATACCCACACACATTTATTCACATGCAACACTTTAAAGCTTTTTATTGAAGTATAATGTATATAGAGAGATGCAGATACCAGAATAGTATTATTTTTCACATATTGAACATACAAGCACCGGCTTAAGCTTGTGCCCCTTCTTAGTCATCACCATTAGTCTGACTTTACTTTTTGTGGCACTGGGTGGTGAACTCAGGGCCTTTGCACTGAGCTATGTCCCAGATCTTTTACATTTTTAAATTTTGAAACTGGGTCTCACTGGGTTTCTGAATTGTCCAGATCAGGCTCAAAGTTGTAATCCTCCTGCCTCTCAGAGTGTTGGGGTCACAGGTATCTGTCACAGCACCTGGCTTTATCCTGACTTTAAACAGCATCAGTAAGTTTTCTGTTTTTGTATGCTATATAAATGAATTTCTGTGACATATTCTTGTATGTCTCACTTCTTCACTGAGCATATCTGAAAGATTCATCTGTGCTATTGTTTAAAAACAGACTACTCATCCCCACCGTTATAGAATGTGTTCTGTGATAGGAATACACCAACTATCTATTTTATTTTGAGTATTTGTGTCATTTCTGGTTTGGGCATTATTATCAGTAGTATTAATCTGAGCAGCACTTTTGGTATACATTTGACATTCATATGTCCCCAGGAATGGGCCATAGGATTTCCATACACTTATGTGTAGTAGATACTTCAAATAATTTTCCCAAGTGATTGCACAATTTACATAGCACATGACTTTTTGAGGAATCATTCTAAGAAAGGCATTCCCACCTAAATCTTGAACGCTTTTGGTAGCATGTCCAAGGACCTGTGAGAGATCCCCAGCACTGGAGACAGAGAACAAGTTTCAGAATCACTGAGGTTGAAATCAGCTTACCCCTACACGGCCACATCATCTGGGACAAGAGGCTTAACTTCAGTCCTCGATTTACTCAACTGTAAAGTAAGTACTGGAGTAGATAATTGTTGAAATTTATGAGAATTGAGAAATTATTCTAATGTACTTGGAACAGTGACCAGCACATAGTAAATGCTTAGCCTATTATATGGTAGTTGTTAACTTCTCATTAGTGATTACAAGACAGAATGGAGAAATAGAAACAAGCATCAGTAACACAACCCACAAATTCTCCGGTGGAAGAAAACTATGAAACTCTGACCCAACAGGCATTACCGATTCCAGTGAGTTCTACACTTGGACCCTGAAAAAGAAATTTAAACATTATCCCCAAGTGGATTTGCAAATTACTGTTGCCGGAGGCAAGGTTCTTAGATACAGAGTATTACCATCCTCCCCACCCCCCAGACATTATTCTTTCAAGACGGGACTGCCAACGGCTACTCTGGAAAGTCACTAATATAATACCTTTTATTATATTTGCCGATTTCACACCTTTCTCAACCTAGTCTCCAAAGTTCTTGAACAGTGACTGTAATTGCAACATTACTTCCTAGTTTTTCTAGATACTTGGCTTGTAGAGACAACTTTCATAACAGTAAAAATCGTAAAGACGAACCCATATCTTTGCTCTAAATGACAAAGAATGTGGGCTTATTTTATGGAATCAGTGTGATGACCTTAGCGTGGGTTTCAGCAGCTGCCAGATTAGCGCCCTATTAGTTAACACAAGTACACTCTGTACAGGGTTACTGCTTTAGTTAATTGCTCTTGGGGCAGCAGGCTCAGCCGGCTTAGGTAATTTTGGAAGGTGACACTGTGTTCCTATCAAATTGAATCAGATCCCATATATCAGTGACTATTCTCAAAAAATAAAGCACACAGTCTACTTGAAAAGATGTCATCATCTGAGACCGTGGTAGACCTGAAAGAGAACTTTTTGAACATTTAATTGAACTTCTTTGATTTACAAGATGAGAAAACCAGTCATTTAAAAGTCTTGCCTAAGGTCAAATGGTTTGTTCTTCGGACGGAGGTAAAGCTTGTCTTCTCATTCACAGTCCAGTGATCTCTGCTCCCGGTGCCGCCTGGCCCGAGGCCCCCTCTCCCCACCTCCCACACCGATTTCATAAAGATACTGACTGGGGAACCAGAATGGGGAAGGTGGAGTGTGACTTAAAACAAGGGAGTGACAACCCATTAAATTGTTAACTAGTGTAAGAGGAATGAGGCTGGCCCGCCGGAACAAAAGATCAAAGAAGGAGGGCGGCCCTTCCTTTTGGGTACCGCTGTATTCTTAGCACCTAGAGCAGTGCCTGGTAAACTAGGTAAACCCTGATCGGTGTTAAATGGAAAAAAAAAAAAAATCAATCAATCTTAGAGATGTCAGCGAGAGAAAACGTACCTTTGTCTTCTCTCCCACCTCCTTCCATTAGCACTAATAAAACATGCACATTTGGATTCTAAAGAGAAATCGTGGCAGGAGCATGGCAACACCGTGCCTGGCTCCTTGTGAGTAATTAATAAATGTCAGTTTATTTTTCTCCCTTCCCAAGTGTGGGCTCGGCTCAGAGGGGTAAAGGGTGATGAGCGACGGTGTTTACGTGTTTAGACAGAAAGTGAAGTGAGTGTTTTAAGAGGCTGGCGACAGAGGCCTGTTGGTGTCCTTCTGATGCGCAGAGATCAATTCCAGTGCCCCGCAACACGCACAGCTATTTTACCCAACGAGGTCGGTCGCTTTTGTTGATCGATTCTGGGCTGCAGTCAGCTTTTGAATACAACTTTTTATAAGCATCAGCTACATGGCGGCGGGAGGAGGGGCAGCGGTGGGAAAAGTATGGAAAACACACGAGTTCCCTCCTGCAAAAGTAAAAGGAGCCGCGGCGTGGGGCCGGCGGTTTGCGGGTCGAACGGCCCGGGGCTGGGACGGTCCCGCCCCTCGCCCGCGGCGGCTGCCGAGGTTCAAGTTCGCCCGGCCGCCT